ATAATCGACTTCGTAAGTCGCGAGGGAAGGGATTGCTGTACCCTTCTCGCGATAAAAATACCTCAGGCATGAACCGCAGGAGGGGGTCCAACCCCCCCCTCCTTTGTGACCCCGGTTGGGTCGTCTAGCTAGTAGAAGTGGAGGATAGGGGCCAGAGGGGCAGACGACAGAGTCCAATGATGGGAGAAAAAAAAAAATATATATATATATATATATGCACCCGAAGCTGCTGAAGAGAGCTTCAATTTGCGCCGCTTTTTGGAAGAGCCCGTCCCCTACTTCCCGAGAAATGACGGGAGGCGTCTGGACCCGAATTTTCAATTTTTTTGGTTCTCACTCTCAATCGGAAACTTCGCTCTCAATCGTGCGAAAACTCTGTTAGATTCGCTTTTCATGCGAACTACCTGAGCGTTCGGTTGTTTGTTGTAGCGCAATTGGCTGGGCATTCGTCCCTGCTTTGTCGGATGGCTCGTGAAACAGTGAGAGGTGGCGAGCAACTACGAACAAACTTCTACATGGCTGGGAGCAGAGGTCATCCACTGCTTTGACCCCAAATCCATATTGTCGAGGCACGCAATGGACACTCTCAGTCTCCATCTCAAAAAAGCCACGCCATCTTAGGTCTCTCAACAATGTGTGAGCATAAATAATAATACGTAAATGCAACTGACCTCCATGAACTCCCCAAAGACCGTGTCGATCGTCACGTGCACCCATTCTCCCGTGGCGTCCTCCCAATTCCGGTACCTGTCCTTACACAACATGGAATGGAACCGATTACTGATCTTGTGAATTGGGAAGGGACGTTGACACTCCTGATTTGAAACGGTTCATACCTTTCTGGCTCGCTCTGCTTGCCTGTCGCTGAAGACTAGGTCTATAGATTGGGGCTCACACGTTTCCGTCAACCAACAACATCGGCCACGCACCAGCTGTCATGGGTGTAGTAGTCGGGGATGGTCTTGTCAATGTTGGAGAAGCGAACATGGAGACCGTCGAGGTTGGCACTGATGGATACAATCGGGTCTCCGTCCACCGTCTGCCCTCCGTTGTAGGCGCCTTTCTGCCCAACATCGTGCACGTTCCCCCCACAGGCACCCCCGCGTTTTTGCATGTTCGACGGACACATGGGCGTACGGAATCATTTTTTCTGTCTTGTCTGTCTGTCTGTCTGTCTGTCTCTCTCTGTGTCTCTCTCTCCCCCTCTCTCTGTGTACCGGGGTTCGGGAGCAAAACCGTGTTTAACTCAAACACTGGATGTATCCGCCACGCCAGTGGTCCGGTCTCGATATTCTGCTCTTTCTGCCGTCTCTCGACGGGGTATCTGCTGCACGGGTACCGCAGACGCACAGCGAGGTTAGTCAACAAGAAAGCAGTCCTTGACTTTCAAGGAAGAAATATCAGAATTTTTTTCTACGAAACATTTTCCCTGTTGAATCACTCACGATCTGGCCAATATGCGTAAAACGTTTGCCGAGCTTCATTCCCTCGACCGCGCGGAAGCTGTACTTGTAGATGTACCTCTCGCCCTTGAGGAAGGGGAAGCCCTCGGGCCCGTAAGCCACTTTAGTTTCTGCTCTCTGCACATTCTTGGGAACGATAAACCTGTTGTCAGGCCGAATTATAGAACAAGTACAATTGAACACGAGGCAGCGCATGAACCCAAAAGTTCTTCAAATTCGTGGTGATCATGGCAAAGACCGGTATTATCCAAAAGTTCGTCTTCAGCATGCGTACGATCCGCAACGCATACTAACGAGATCAATAGCATGCGCTACAAACAAAGGCTTGCTTGTGTGGACCAGCGTTTGGCGCCTACTTGCAGGAGAGTTCAATCCCAGACTTCGCTTGATTCCGAGCGTGTCACATGTTTTGGCCTTGCCACGGCTGATTGTGTGGCAATCTCAGCTGAAACTAGGGTGGAGTTGGAGCGCACACGCCGTAGGTTTCCGGACGCTTGGATGGCGTTTCGAGGTATTTCCTTGAGCAAAACCTTCACCTGGAGCACGGGCGGTCTTTGTCCGTACACGAAGTGTGGGTCGCCCTCTCTTTCTTGTCCTTGCTCCTGTACTTGAGAACCTCCTCCTCCGAATCTTCGCCCTTCAGTAAGTCAAATCGAGGTGGTGACGATGAACGAGTATTTGTCCTCAGCACGTTGATGAGGGGGACGGCAACCAACTTCACTGCCCCGGGCGGAATGCGTGAACTTCGGATGCATTTTTTGTCGCCACACTCGTGTTGTTGGCGACGGACAACTTGTACGAGAAAATGAAGCAACGGTTCACTCAAGATGTCACGGAACGTGTCAAGAACGTCTACGAAACGTGTATCTGTCCTTTCTATCTAGTTCAAGATCGAATGAAACGTGCAGCCTCTCCTTTTCGCCCTTTCTTTCCACTAACCTGAGCAAAGAAACACCAGCACGATTGACAAGTCAATGAACTGTGGCGCATGGAGTAATTACCCTTCCAACAGCGCCAAAGGTAGTAGTGGGTGGAAATTCACTTGGTTCTGAATACCCGATTCGACATTCTCAACGAACGCATTGTACCTGTTACGTGGTACTATGATCAATGTCGCGGTGATTCGCCAAAGAAAATCTACATACGTGTTACCCAATTAAAATCCAAGTACACCACTCACAAAAATGCAATCCCAGTCGATGACGTTGTCCTTTTTGGGCTCGCAGGTGATGTCGATCCTGGCTTCCCTGTTGAACATCGACGACACACGCGGGTTGCAGCAACGATTCTTGACAATGACGTCGCGTACCACGGAACGGAGGGGTGGCAAGAGACGTTTTGAACAATGAACAGACCGCGAGGATGACACTACGTTGTGCAAGGTTTCAACCACACGTCGTACGTGTGAGCTTGTTGTGCAATGCTAGTCTAGCGTTCACGGCAGCGTTGAAAATTTTTGGAGGGCGCACATTCTGCACTACGATGAGGGAAAGGTGGATGTCTCACGTTCAGGCAACTTTGATGGTTTGAAAAATCGAAAATACGAGTGCTATAGAGATGGCCTTCGGTAAGGGACGTCTCTCCTCGTGTCTGTCGAGGCCGAGCCTCTTTTTAGCAGCGGCGTTGCGTGGATTTAGTCTTTGATTGACCGCCGACAAACCGGGTTCGAATGGGCATCCCACCTCTTCGTGTTAACCAAGGAAAACAGAAATGCGTACTCGTGAAACGTCTGGTTGCATGTTGGACGCAACGCACTCGCAACGACAACATCTTCAAATGATATTGAAGAAGTGAATCACTGCCAGGTGGTTGGGGTTTAGTTCCCCCTGGAAACCTCCGTTCTGTTCCACGAACATCACACCGTTTTTGAAAAGGGGTGCTTAATGTTCGTGCGTGGAAGTAGATTGCTCGGAAAAAGCCGTTATGTAGGAGGAGTTGGGATGTTCCTGGAAGGAGTGACGTACGAGGCCTTTGGGTGATAGTGCGGAGTCCCCGCTGTCTGTCGAAGTCTTTGGGCACGCCTCCTCATCCTCCTCCTCCTTTCTATCTCCTCTCTCTTACGAGCGAATACAACACAGCAAAACAGCAACCCCAGTCCGCACGGCACGTACCGGTGCCAGTAGCTCACGCTACAAGAACGTTACAAAAGGATCACATTTCCCCAAAGTAGAGGACGAGTCTCGCTTGAAGGTTGCCATTTTTTGCTACCCGAAATCGCTCCGTAGGGGAAAAACGACAACGAACGGCGGCTCACCATGAACGAGAAGCGGGCCTAAACCACATCTTGTTTGACAGATTACAAATGATGTTTGCATGTTGTCCCCGTGAGAGTTATTGGTGGGATTTCTCAGCAACGCAGCGAAAGAATATTCCACACTTGCCATCTTTTGATAATTTCTTATCCTCTTCCTTCCCTCTAGGAACTCCCACAGTTCGACGCAAATGGCCTTCATCACATTCATCGTCAACAGAGCTTTCTCATTGTTCGCGGTCTTACGCCCGGGTGACACCTCGACCAGCACGTCGTTTCCATCTCCGTGGAAGACCATTCTGACATCTGGAGAAGGGCTTTTCCCAGTTTTTCTGTGCCGCGATTGCGTGCACCGTGTTCAGAATCTAATGTCTGCACGTGTGGGTGAGCGTGCTGCCGCGGTCCCTAACAGGCTCTTGGCTTCACCGCTTTGCTATGGACGTGCCGCGCGTTTCCTCCTTATCTAGCTTCACTTGGTAGACTCAACTACACACCGTAGCTCCAATCATTTTCATTCCCGGGTGGCGGACTTGCCGATCGCAGTTTCACGCGTTTGCGCACACTGAGAAGTCGTGCAGGCTCTCCAAGACGCAGCCTTCAAAATGCCTCGCTATCGGCGATCCCAGGGCTTCTTACGGGGTGTTCGAGGTGACCTCGCCCCTTTCCTTTGTCCGGACGACCGTGGGGCTGGGCGCTGGTGACGACTAAGGCAGTTTGACGAAGCTGCTCTGTCATGGCATTACAGCTCTCCTCCTTTCCCCTCCTATTCCTATCTGATGTCGCCTCTACGATCCAATACATGCGGTTATCAACACTCTTCAAACTCTGGAGCTCACACTACATGGACATTACGAACATGACGACTCAGTCCGCATCGCCATGTTCCCGAGGTGTTTGGAGCTTTCGAACGGGCAAAAAAAGCACTGTGTCCAAGCCGGGCCGCTGCAGGGCTGCCGTGACACTCACTTTCCGTTACCAGGGCGGCTGGAATGAGTCGAAGACTAGATGTATGTATCCGACACAGGGGCCGTCTTTCGACAACATGATGACAAAGGCTGACTGGCAAGTGCTATTTTAAGGAAGCATATTCTGACGGATGGATGACCCCAACAAAGTCATCGGGTAATTGACACTTTGTACTTGTTCAACCTGTACACTTCATGGTGCGCTCCGGCCTACTTCTGCACAGTACATAGCATCTTGTTGGCTTGAGGCATGGCTGCCTTCGAATGTGCTTCTCAAGAGCGAACAAAGGTTGGGGCCGTACCTGGCTATTTTCCTGGGGTGCGGCCCGAACACGTTTTTAGTTGTCCCACGAACTTGCCGGTCTAATATCAGGCTGGCACGGGTACCCAGGACACCTTGGCGCCCAGCTACCCTCCATTTATATGTGGAAGTAGCTTGTGTAGAGCCGTGTTAGGGTCAAGGCTGTGTTGTTGCCATCTTCGTCGTCTTCATACATTAAAACAGGTCCGATCGACAAGGTCGGTCTTTCAGTCTGTCTGTCTGTCTGTCTGTCTGTCTGTCGGTACCTAGAACTACTGCTGCTGCTGCTGCTTCTGCTGCTGTTGCTGCTTCGTACTGGTCAAACAAACTGATGTGGCGCCTTCTTCTTCCTCTTCCCAAGAATAGGGCACGCGCACCGTGAGGTGATCCCTGGGTGCCCGCCCCAATAACACCCAGCAGATATAACTGTAGGTGAGGCCCGAACTCCCAGATCGGGTTGGGGAGTCCGGCATACCCGTCGGATGGACGGGTACTACCCGTCCAACAGCCTCAATCACCCTAAACGAACGGTTCCGTTCAGTTCGTAGATGCATGCTGCGGGAATATATGTAGTCTACAGGGACAGCAAACACGTTAGATGGCGCCAGCTCATCAGCCAACAATGCCGAGGACTTCACTTGTTTGTGGGTCAGCCCTGTGTATCAACAGATACGTAGCAACAGACACCCAGCCGTATCTCACAATTCAGGCGGTTCGAGACAAACTTCGACTATGTACACATAGTCTAATATGCATCGACCAGTCTTCTACATATTATTCTAGTCTACACCGTGGAGCCTAATTACGCCTGCCTCTGATTTGTTGTCCATTTGTCTCTGACTCAAACAAGATTCGACTCCTCCTCCTTTCGGTGCTCTTTCCTCGATTCCAACCTTTCAGCATAGTTTTTGTGCCTGATCGTGGAAGACCCCTTCAATGTGAAACGATTCTTAGCTAGTGTCGATATATTTCACTGCAGTGCCTACACAGACGATCGGGAGAGATTCGGGTGATTGTCAATTGCTGCTATGATGGCTTTGGTTGGTTGCTCTTTTTCACTGTACCGCCGCAGACACATTCTGACAGCACTTCAGACAGCAGCTTTGTGCCCCGCCAGCTGCTTGTTCCATGCCTACCATGGTGTTTTTGTACAGACAGCACTTCAGACAGCATTATGCTGTAGTCGGCAATCTTCCGTTTTGGTATAGAGTGGGACAGGGAGGGGGTGATGCTACTGTAGTCGAACGGTGGGACGGACGTGCAGTTCAGTTTTTGGGCACGCATACGGTGCTGCAGGGATTTTTAGGTGTACCTCTTCGGGCTCTTGGATATCTTTTTCTCGTTACATGTGTGCGTGTTCTTTAGATCCTCAGATGGCTCTAGCACTTTCGTGACCACGGGCTGAGAGTCTTTTGCTAGATTTTGGCATTTAGCAACTGACATACGGTTTAATGTGAAGACAACAACATAGGCTCGACTGTAGTCGGTGCTCACGGAGCCCCCTGGTACCCGTTACAACCTAGCCGCCGCGCTCCTGGCGTTGTGATAGCGCGTGGGTCTGCAGGTGTTATTGGGTTTAGTTTTTTTCTTTTCTTGGACACTTCCTTTGCCACCGCGGGACGGCCACCAGCCGGGTGGCGTCGAAGAAAGAGCGATCCGCTAGAAGATGAACTGTTGTAGGGTATAGGAGAAGAAACGAGGTGAATCGATTTACGAGGCCCGGTGTATGGACGATCAGGGCGGCTGAGATAGTACGGCGGGCACTCGCAGATGGTACCCCCTCGATTTTTGCGACCCCCCATAAAACCCCCCCTGCCAGGCCATGTTAGATATACTCGTAGCATAGTTGTTGTTGTTGTTGTTGTTGTTGTTGTTGTTGTCTTCACATTAAAAACCATCCCGGTCTCTCTATCCAGTTCCTCCTTCTGTCTCAATGTCTCCGTACTAATCCAGCACTTGACTCGGTCAATTTCCGTGGTCACAGGGAGTTTCTGCTTGGTTTCTTCGGAGATTTGATGAGTGATCTGAATTGCGTGACGGATAGGTGTGGTGACGCACTCTTCGGCTGCTCGGACACGAGCGCTCTCTGCTCTTCCCTCTTCCTCTAATACAAGACTTTATCATCTCGGCCCTCACTGGCTGAGCTTCCTTTCTCCACAAACCCACAAGCTTCGGCCTAGCCGTTTTACCCAACACGCTAGCATTAACGACTTTGTCGATGGTGATTGGGTAGCGCCGATGGGCAGCCGCATGCGCGGCTGACGACACCCAACCAGACGAAGAGGCCACCAACGGCGAGGGCCTGCACAGCAGCAGCNTGTAGGCATGAACAGCCACGTGATGACTTGTCAGTTTTGGACTGCTGTCGATATGTGTACACCCATGCGGTGATGCGGTACGCCTACATCGTGCCTTCAGATCCTAAACGCGGCGTTATGCCGTGCGGTACTGCCGTCAAACGCCAACGCTAACTCCACCTCCACCTCCACCC